AACCGAAAGTACAGAAACACAAAAATACATCGAAAGGAAAAAGGGATTATCATCAAATCACTGAGAGAGAGGATCAACAGAAGTATGCGTTGGATATCATAAAAGAAACAAGGATGTTAAATCAACAGGCATATGGAATACTGCTTCATACTTTCTTAAAACTGCTCTAAGAGCTTCCTGATAGCTCATGTGGCAAAATCGACCGCCCATTCAAAACTCTTAGCTCAAGCAAGATGGCATGGCTTTCATGTATGGTCCACATCATTGCTTTCAAGGAAATCAATGTATTACATTAGGTCAGATCTCTTCTCAATGTCATGGTCTTACTCCGTACTCTGAATTTCATCAACCAAGTTCAATTCACAGAGGTCAATACCAATGTCTCTAACCATTGTCCATTATAACCCAAGAATCACAGTGGAACTTCCAATTTCCTAACCCCAATGATAAGAATTTTACTATTATCTCTACCTTACCCCTGTACATCAACTTTCTACCTAAACTGTCTCCCAGTCCCCAATCCCCAATCCCCATCATTACTCCATATGTTTCTGTCTTCACAATTGGTAGACTCAAGCCACCCAACTTTTCCACATTGTGTTTTTGATATAAAATTGTGGGAGGCCTCACTTTCTACTAAAACCAGAACTCTTTCGTCTCCAATTTTTTACTCCATTTTCATGGTTCTTGGGGTTGTTAATTCCACTACCAAATTCAAAGATGCCTCTACAATTTGAGCCAAATCTGTTGCTTTCATTGCTTTTTTTTTTCTTCCTCCCGTCGTCCATGAACTCTTCATCTTCTATCGCATCATCCTGGATAACTACCAGATTTTGCTCCTTTTTCTTGCATTGGTTACTCGGGTAATATTTTTCTGTCAAACCTACTCCATCCTCCTTTAGTTGGGTTTAGAATCAAAAAAATTTCTTTCATCTTTTGGGCCAAATTCATTGCTCGACCCAATCCTTTTGCGCCCATAATTCTTAACTTTTCTCTAATATAAGTTTTAAACTAGGGATGTATCGTCTTACAAAAACATCATCAGAAGTTGTTCAACCAATCCTTGCTCGACCCAATCCTTTTGCGCCTAGATTTTAAAACCGTTCCGTCTTGCTTCAATGCCTGACATTGTTCAACCAAGGTGCTCCCCGAGGATGAAAGTGTTTGAGGGACCATCATTCTGAGCTTCTCTGAGTATGGACAGGTCGGTGTCGATTTCCCTTTGAAACCAAAGTAATGCATCACCCTCAAATCCTATTACTGCCACCTCTACCTCTTTTTGTTGGTATACCAATTCATGGTTAAGAATTGTTTCACTTTCAACAGAAATTCATCCGGGTTAGAACCATCAATTATAGGCCTCTCCAACTTTCTGCATATGAAAATCTGAACCTAGTTAGTGGGTTTGTGATACGAATCCAGAAATCATTGTCTAATGGGAATAAAGCAAGGGAGTGGAAAGTTTATTCTAGAAGGGCTAAAAGGGCAATTGTGGAAAGTGGCTAGAAAGTTAGTTGGAGAATAGTATCTTTAAAAAGGGAAGGAAGGGGAGTGCGTACGACACCTGGTTATTTTGCATTATTCTATTGTATTGGCTCTTGCATTCATGCATTGGGAGAGGGATTCTCCCTGGATCTTTTCTGTAATTCCGTTTCATCTTTAATTCCATCACTCTCCTTCCCTAAATTCACTATTACATTTATGCTAAATTTCTTTTTTCCATCATTGGTCCGACCTGCCGTTTGATTTGCCGGTACCATGGAGACTCGATCAATTCAAGCCCGTTTTGAGCAACAGGAGGAACAAATTCAGCGCATATAGGCTGATTTGGTGGAAATCAAATCTGCAATCACTGCGTTGGACCTGGATCGTGCCGAGGCCAACGAGTTTCGACAAGTGAAGATGGGTTGGATGAAGCAACAAGGTAAATTTCCGATGGGTGGTCAAGGTGGTCAAGGTGGTCAAGGTGAGTTCTCGGGCACTTCACCTCCATCTCCAAAGGCGGGTGTCTATTCGGGTGTTTTCTCTGGTTCTGGTCAGACCCCTGTTTCTCCTACAATGGGTCTTCCTAGGGCAGTGAAGAAAATTAAACTCCCGGAGTTTTATCGTTTTGATCCTCAAGGCTGGATCCAGAAGGATTCTCTGTATTTTGATATCAATGGTACTCCTCCTCATCTTCGAATTCGTTTAGCACAGTTGAGCATGGTGAGAGTGACTCAACATTGGTTCACCATCGTGAAACAGGTTCATGATTCTCTTACTTGGGATCCATTCCAACTTGAATTGTTACAGAAATTTAGTGGTCTGGAAATTCAAAACCCATTTGAACAATTAGCCACTATTAAACAAACAACTTCCATTCACGATTATATTGACGATTTCGAGTACCTCTTATCGTTGGTTCCAAAATTGCCAGAGAATCTCAGGTATTGGGATATTTTATTGCGGGTTTACGTGACGAAGTCAAGAGATGGGTTTGTCTCCACCGACCTCAATCTCGATTAGATGCAATGTATTTGGCAAAAGACGTTGAAGAGATGCTTCGACCATCATCAGGCAATGTTTCACTGTTCCGTTTTCGATACCACCATCTAGAATCCCTTATTGACTTCAAACTAGAATACTCACAGTTTTACCTTGAGGACAAGGTTGGGGTTGAAGGGAGCGCATTGAATTATTGCGATTTAGCCTCTTTAGTGTTGGGCGTCGGCATTTTCTTCATGTGGTACATGAGGTTGTATAATCTCAGCAAGTTCACTGAATTCTATCGTATGAAAAGCAACATCTATGCACAAGAAGTATTAGGAATCAGTTCACCTTCCTATATTCTCTCTTGCTCCCTCTCAAGTCTCATCTTGTACTTCCTAACGAATCCATATCTTCGTTTCTTGTCTGCTCCCTCTGTTTGTGCATGACTCACTGGATCCTGATTGTTTTGTTTGCCACATTCTGTGACTCCAACACCACAGCTCGTCCTCTCTAAACATCAAAACACCTAGTTATTTTTTGTTGGTGTGCATCAATTTTTAGTAGCCTGTATTATGCTATGCAATGCGTATACATCACTGCAGGCAAGCATGTAGTGCTCATTGAAGCATTGCCATATATATATATATATATATATATATATATATATATATGATTGCAAGTGCTTTCTCTCTCTCTCTCTCTCTCTATATATATATATATATTTCTAAGGTCTGTCATTTGTCAGGTAGCTCTTCCATAGTCTTGGAGATCTTGCACTATGCACTAATAACAGCCATTTTTAACTGGAACTCAATATCAGGTGTAGTTATTCCTTGGTGCATCGGTCTAGAATTACCTTAAGTTTGGTGGTAAACGAGGCCTTCCAGTAGGAATCGGAGTTTGCAATCATAATGGATAAACTGAGGAAGGTTATGGTGGTTTGGGACATGTACAACAGGAGGCAGATTACGACACTGATGAGGAGGGTAGAGGGTATGATGGGCGAGGGGTGAGGAGGGGTAGGCCGAGGACGTTGGATGTGCAGTTGAGAATGTACATGGCAGCCTTAGACATTTCCAATGATAGAGTGAGACAGAGAGGGGTAGCGTGTGGCAGTCACGCTACCAGAGTCTTATGTCCAAAAGGGGGGTTGTCTTGGTTTTTCCTTCCTTTCATGTCTATTACTGTATTCACTTGTGTGATCCGTTTGTACACTAGTTTTAGCTTTTCTTCTTGTACTAGTAGTTGTCCCACTTGTCAGCGCTTGGCTTTGTGTTTCCTTAACTTTTTTAACATATTTCCTTCTCATCTGTTTGTCCCTGATGCATTCTGTTTACATTACCTGTTACTTGTTTGCAAAACACTCTTTTGTTGATTTTAATTTTTTGTTTTGCAAGTCGTGGGTCTTACTCTCTACTCCTTCGGGTAGAGGCAAGGTTTGCGTACATCCTACCCCCATACCGTGCCTCTACATGGGATTTATTCGGTCCATTTGGTTTGGTTTTTGGTGGTTAACAAGGACTGTGCTGGGATTCTACAGCAGGAGAGGGTACATAGGGAATCCTAATGATGGATATCTCTATTAACCACTCATGCTACATGCTAATTTCTCTGTGATTCTATTATTCTCTGATCCCTTTTTATTTTTTTTTAATTTTGCTTAACTACAACTCTACATTGATAAGCATTTAGAGTTTCCAAAGTTAATGGTCTACCTTAATTAGACAGAATCTAGGTGTGTTATAAGAAATCAATGAAGGCTTATATTATAGAATGTTGGTAAGCCGAAGCTCTTAGATGCACATGCTTTGATTGATTGAACACCAACACATACTCTAAAAACTGAAATTTTGTAATCTTGCTTATCAAAGTTGGAAGATGAAACTGAATATTAGTAATAAGATCTTTTTAGGGTCTAGTTTATCTTTATTTTAACTCCTTATAGCACAATTATGCAAAGACCTAAGACAGTCTTTTCTTTTGGTGGCAATATAGTCTGCACACAATATCAAATAAATCTTATTATGGGGGTTCATCATCTCACATCCAGTCATATTGTTAGGATCAAGTTTTCGATGATTAATGAATCTGGTTGTCTGTAAACATATAATAATTATTTCCTTTTGTTTGGGTTTGTCATATGATAGGAAAACACGATCCATATTTGATGCGGCAATAAAGGTTCATCGTGAGGTGCAACAAAGAGACATTGAAGTTGGTAGGAATCTGGGTAATTGGATCCTCAGATGGCTGGACAAAATGAAACCAGGTGCGCAGATTCGTCCTGGGAAACCTACCCAATCCAACAACAATTCAGCTGTCAAAACCACGAAAAAAGGTTCACCCGACCCTTCTTACCAGAAACCTCCACAGAGGTACGGAATATCTTATAGGAGAAACGGGGATCGAGAATCTAATAGGCGTTTCTTTACTTCAACCAAATCTTGGCATGCAGCATACCCAACTATTTCTATGATGATGAAACCCGCAGAACCAGTTGGAACTAATACTCACTACAGACACTTGGTATCCGGCCTCAACACTTTCGAGTTGAAAAGTACAAGATTTGGGTGCAATGGAGTGATTCGGAATGATATAATGCAATGGATGAGTAAGTAGAATACTGAGTTTCAGATGGATTGTTTATATGATTTTGGATATTCATTTGATTGTTGTCTATCTGAAGCTTATGGTCTTCGGCGGTCAACGATGAGTTTTGATTAGGTTACTTTTCAGCTTCAAAACTTGTGTGGTCTCTTTCTTCATTTGTTTGCTTTCCTAGACTGTAATTGTATCACCATATTTCCATTTGCGAACTTATCTTAAAGGATTTGAAGGCTTGAGCAGCAGCCACTGACTAACAAAGTTGTCGATGATGCATACAACTATTACTGATTAAAGTGTTACAGTTGGTTCTGGAGTTATATACTTGTACAAATAGTTGAAAGTTTGAGTCTGACAGCTGTAATATAAGAGTTATTGTGTACCTGATTTACCTCTCATACGATGTTTTAACATGTATGGACCAGCTAAGGTTGCAAGTTTCAGACCTTTTTTAGACAAACTATTGGTAGTTTAACTGTTACGTAATATAATATTTTTTGGCCAGGAATAAAAATTTCAGAGATAGTTGTTTCGACCACATCTTAATCGTGAGTTTGGTATATTTTAATTCATTGAAGCCTCTCAAAAGGCTGGAATCACGATAAACAAACATATGATGATATTGTTACTTAATTAGATCAACATGAAAAAGGCATCCAATCTTTGGAAACATGATAAATACAAAATCCAATAACAAAATACTCCTGCCATCTTAATTACGCCGGCTTTTATATATATATATATATATATATATATATATATATATATA